CTGCTGCTGCTGCTGCTGCTGCTGCTGCTGCTGCTGCTGCTGCTGCTGCTGCTGCTGCTTTTCCTACCGCTGCAGCTCCAGCCGATTTCCATAGCTACGCAGGCGACCGCGCAGGGACCTGCCCTGAAAGGGAGACAGAGCGGCTGGGGGCTGCAGAGCCTCGTAGCTGCTCCCTTTCACCAGGCGGTACGGCTGTTCTCCGACAAGGCTGCTTCGCCCCCAGAGGATGCTGCACGGATACATCTGCGGACGGTTCCAGGACCAGCAATAAGCCTCTCGGACTCCAGAGCCTTCCCTCCACTGCTTGCGTGCCCCCTCCCAGCATGCCCAAGAGCTAATCTGGAGGAAGCAGGACCTTGAATTTTCCTTCCGCTGCCGAACACCATGATCCGCAAGAAAGCCTCTGGTTTGGGTCCTCCAGACGCCAATCTGCTTCTCAGCGCTGGAAAGGGCCCCCTGGGCCACTTCAACGATGTCAGTGCCATTCAAAATGGGGCCTCCGCCGGTAGCCTGGTAAGTACGCAGGTAGAGTGAATACTTTCTGAAGCAAGAAACTATGGGATTCAACTGTGTTTTGTCTTAAAAACCTCCTGTCTTGCACGGTTTGTGTTGCTCGTGGATGACTGTGGGATCTGGTTGTGATGGAGTAGCAAGGTGAAAATATTCTGTGTGCGCTTAGCGTGAAACTCTAGCATGCAAGCCCTCGGACCACGACCAACTGGAAGTTTCCCACAAGAGAACAGGAGAAAGATTCAAAGGCCCAGGGGCACCCGTGAAGTTCTATAACCTGACAGCGTGTTACTTGCCACCGTGCAAGTAAAAAAGAAATGAATTTAGATGGGAAGAGTTGTAGAGTTCCACCACGAAGAGAGCCAGATGTTTCCTTTGGCGCTGCCATAATTTCGGGCAGGGCCCTGAAATTATCTAGCTGTAGGTCTCCATCAATTGGATGATGTAGAGAAAAGAGAGAGCACGATGGCCGCGTCCTTGCCACGGCGATACGTTCTGCGATGCCAAAGCGCTCAGTGCTGTGTGTGGCACAACCTATCACCCCAAAACAGGAGTGCCTCTCTGATGCAGTACTGGGTTTCTAAGGCAGAAAAGGGAGACAGGACACACCGGATTTGTGGTCCGAGTAGGATGTGTTAAAATCTCTTAAAATACAGCCTTTAAATACACACACAACAGTGGTACTCTCCAATGTCTTTTCCAGCAGTCAATTTTTCAGAACCACAGCATCAGCTGGCCCCAGAGGCTTCCCAGGGCCCTTTTCTGTCTATTTTCACTTAAAACTCTTGTTGGCAGGATGTAGAAGGGGACGACACAATCTGCATTTATGGCAGAGACGGTTACGATTCTTCAAACAGCCCCAGAGGAAATTACTTCAGAGACGGGAAAACAAAGATTGGTGAGTGTGTCTTTTTCTACCCCATTTCTCGGCTTTCCCGCTGTCGTAAAATTATAAATCTGGAAGGGATCTCAGAGGCCACCTCAACCGAACCCTTGCTCACTGCAGGGTACGTGATATCCCATCAGTTAATGTAAACTTTTTACAAGCTGGTCCAGAGGGTTTGGTAACAGCAGAATCCTCGATGAAACAGGTGTCCTCCCCGGGAGCTCTTTTCCAGATGGCCAAGGTAAACGAAGCCAGAAAGTAGCTTCCAGCACAAGAGAGCGCGCTCGGGAGAATTCAGAACAGTCAAAACAAGGGAATTGCAACCCTTCTTTTCTAATGAGGTGGTACGTCATTAAAGCCTTTGGACCAAAGTTTCAAAATGCCCGTCTGGTTGGCTTGCAGACTTTATGCTGGTTTGGGAGGAGAAAGCCCACCCCGCAAAGAAGAGGCGAAGCAAACGGCCGCACCGCCAAGGTGATGCGACAGCAGGCAGAAGGGGTGGCTGGGAGCAAAGCTACGGGCGGCACGAGAGGTGGAAGCGGAAATTCCTCAGAAATCTGCGGAACGCGGGTCTCTTGATGGAGAAGGTGAGATTGGGGATGGCAAGTTCTGGCTTGGAAAGGCCACCACACGAGTAGCAATAGGGAGAGCTGCCATGCTGGCATCGGGGCCTCAGTTTGCATGAGCACAAACACACCCCGACCCTGACTTATCTTGGCACTAAAGTGGGACTGACCCATTCATATTCTGCAGACTGCTGAGGTCCACCCTCACCCCATTCAGAAAGTTGCTGGGTGGCCCTTGCTTGGGGGTGTCCCTGCCTCCCTCCTCCTCCTCCTGACCCGGTGGTTGCTTTTCCAGGAGGAGACTCTGAGCGAGCACAAGAGCATCCACTACCTGAAGCTGAGCGCCCCATGGGAGGTGCTGGTGTACTATGCCGAGGAGCTGTGCATGCGTGCGCCTCTCCAAGTAAGCCCCGGGCTTCCTTCCCTGCGCGTGTTGGGGCGCAGTGCAGCCGTTGCCTGCCCCTCTCTCCCGCCACAGGGGTCCCCTGAGCAGCGCTCTCCTTCCCAGGCTCACCCCAACCCAGACAGAAACAGTTCAGATGATCTGCTCCGGAAGCTGCGCATCCCCAACGTAATGGATCAGAGGGTACCCAACAAGCCCGTGGACTACTACACTTGTGCCTTCCGCAAGTCCAAGCTCGACAAGTGAGTGATGGCAGGGAACGGTGGCTGGGGCAAGGGCGCCCATGTTCCTCCGACGGAGGATCCTGCCCGCCCGCCCTGTCACCCAGGCTGGGAGCAAGGGCTCCAGCTGCACGTTAGCCGCCACAGCAGCGAACGCAGAGAGCGTCCCTGTGCCCACGCACTTTCACAGATGCTATCTTCTTGTACGTTTTATCGTTATGGGAGGAGGTGAGGATCGCCGGACAGATTCCGCAGGGTTAGGCGGAGATGACACCTGCGCACCGCAAAGCCAACCCGTCTCTCCCGGGTCCCTTTCAGCTTTGAGGAGCGCTTTAGGCCGGTTTTCCGGTTTGAATCTGTTGCTCTCTTTTCCAGGTTCCTGGGCAGCGATTTGCACGACTCGTACTTCACCCACACGCAAAGGCATCGCATCGTAAGCTCTCTTAGGGGAAAACGCCCAGCCCAGTTCCAGGGTGCAGGGCAGATACGGGAGGACACTGTCCTCGCAGCCCTCTGTTCCTCCGCTGTTTTGAGTTGGCTCACTTTCTTGGGGATGACCGAAACCTGCCACAGCCATCCCGCTTTTCTTTTTTTCTGTCAGCAGTTCTTGTTCTGGTTCTCTGTATCCTGGTGCATGACCTAAATAAATACCACCTGCAGGTGTATGAAATCTTGGCACGGACTATTTACGGAAAACGGAAGCACGCGGAAATAGGCATCGACCGGCTGTTGAACGAAGGAGTATATTCTGCAGCTTTCCCACTGCACGAGGTAAGCGTGTCAAGGAGGGTTCCCCACAGGGAGCGGCGACGCAGGGAGGTTGCACGCAGACGGGCTGGCCCCACGCCTGCCTAGAAACCCTGCCTTTTGAATCCCACTGTGGCCCTTGGTCATGACTTCTTGGCGGCGAAGGGCTCTCTCGCATTCTTACCGTCCACAAAGCAAAATGAGCATCGCAAAGCAGTCCTGTTTAAAACCCCTTTACCTGTAATAGCCCCTAAATTCTGTGTTCTCTTTTTCAGAAATGAATTGCTCTGTATCCTCCCTCTTAACAGAGTTCTGATTTCTGGGGGGGGATTGTTCTCCCCTGCCCTGCCCTGCCCTGACTCCTTCCCTTTCAGAGGATGAACTTGACTACCCAACCCCACAACCTCTTTCTCTAGGGCCCCTATGAGCTACCCGAGTACGAGGTGCTGAGCGAAGAGCTGAACCCCCGGCAGATCCTGTATCGTTTTTGGGCCCAGTGGAACCGTTGGTACAAGTATCAGCCCCTCGACCACATCCGGGAGTACTTTGGAGAGAAGGTGGCCATCTACTTCGCCTGGCTGGGTGAGACGCATCTACAGTGGGGCCTTGCTTCCCTCTCCCTGCATATCCCCCTCCCCTTCCAGAGCTTAAAACTGCTCAGGTTTTGAGCAAACGCCTAGAAAGCTTCCATTTAAAACCACAGAATACGTTGGCTACGTTACACAAGACCCTTAGCAAGGTCAGTGAAAGACGAAGCAGACGCATTTGCACAACTCACATTTGATTAACACATTATAAGTTTTAACCTTAAATAATTAGTTTTGCCCTTGCTTAGTGGCTCAAAGTATTGTGCAATCTCAGCTCATAGATAGATCATGCTTCTACTGTGAGAAACCTGAAATGGGTTAATGCAAAAGCAAATTAAAAATATAGGCAAATCCAATTATTTTGGAA